TACTTACATTATTCAGAATAATAATACAACAACAAAACTGTAATTTTTTAAGTAAAAAACCAAAAAATTTTATATTTTTTAAAATCTAAATTATAATTTTTTAGTATAATATTAGTATAATACTTAATATTATTTTACATTATATTTTTAAACATTGTTTTTAATTTTATTTTTATATTATCTCCTAAAATTACCAGCAAGAAAAATGATTTCTGTTTATATATAAAATTTTATTAAAATTAATATATTACAATTGATATCATAGGATTATGTTCTCTGTTTGATTTTTTCTATTTATCAAAAAAATTATTTTTTCAATTATTTCATATTCATACTAGTGAATATATATATTTATATGTATATATAATATATATTTTATATATGCATTAAGAATTTCAAAAAGAATTTTATTTTATTTTATTTTATTATTATATTTCATTATATTCTATTTTAAGAAAAATATTTATAAATATGTTAATTATTTTATTTATTATGTATTGCACATTTTTCATGAAAATTAATTTTTATTAATTAATTTTTCTTATTAATTTTTAACTATTAATGTTTAGCTTCTTTCTTTGAAAATAACTTTTAATAAAAATATTTATGTTAAGATATATATTGATGAAATTTTAATTTTATATTTTTTTTAGAAATAATTTTAATAAATAGATAGAAATGTATATAAATTGATATATTTATAGTAGTTATTTATAATAGTAGTCATCATTATTATTTTATCTTTATCTTTTGATATACTTTTTTTTTAATATATGGTTAATTTTTTAGAATATTACTAAAAATCATATTCTTATTTGTTTTATTTTAAATTATTTTTCTATATGTACACATTTTGAAAATTAATATTTTTATACTTAAAATTTAAAAAAATTATTATTGTTGCATTAAAATATATAAAATATATATAATATCATATACATATAAAATATTATATATTTTAAAATAAATGTATAAATATTAAAATTCTTAAAATATAAATTATTTAAAAAATTTTTTTTTAATCATTTATTTTTTTAATAACTATCAAGCATCAAATATTTTATATATATTTATGTTTTTTTTATCTATACATTATTAATAAATATTTGTTTCAATGTTTATTTATTATATATATATAATAAAATAAATGATTTAAAAAATTACAAAAAATAATTTATATTTTGAGAAATTTTATATTTAAAATAAATTCTTTTATTAGATTATGTTTATCATAGATTAATTATCACATGAAATATTAAATTTGTATATATTCAACATTTGAGCATTGGTTTGTTCGGTTGCTTGGAGATTTATTTGATTGTTTGATTGCAAATTTGATATATCTTTTAAAAATTTATTAATTAATAATATAATAAACTTTTTAAAAGTTTATTATATTTTGCATAGAAAAAATACTTTTTAATAAATTTTTAATTTTTTAATTAAAATTTTTTTCAATATATTCATTATTCTTTAAATTCAAATTTTTTTTCTTTATAAATTATTATACAAACATTAAAATATTATACAAACATTATAATAATTTTCATAAATTAGGTAAAATTCTTCCTCATTCTTTCTATTCTTTCTATTTTCTTTAATAGATTTTTGATTAAAAAATCTTTAAAACAACTTTTATAATTAAATCTTCAAAAAGTTTATTTCTTTTTTTTTAAGACTTTTCGAAAAAAGTATTTTTTCATTAGAATTCCATTGAAAAAAAAATCATGGATTTTTAGATGGTATCTATTTTAATTAAAATTTAAATAATAAAATTTAAAGTTGTATTTAAAACAAATAAAAATAATTTTTAAATTTTCAAAACATCTTCTAGAATAAATACGTACTAAGTTATGCATAAAATTATTTTCTATTTTTTATCTATTTAGAGAACTATATCTGAATCTAATTATATCAAATATTCTATATCATTCTTATCATTCTATATCATTCTATATCAAATTATAAATTTTCATGTTTCTTATGTTACATATTTATTTTTTGAGTAAATGAAGCTGATATAATTAATTCTATTAATTAAATCTATTAGAATTAGAAGAATTAAATATAATTATTTATATAGAAAGAATATTTTTATTTCAAAAAGAACTGCATTGAATTGTTAACTATTTGAAGTTTAGAAAATTATTGATTTAGGAAAAATTCCTTTTTTCTTAAAAAGTTTTTAATCTTAAGTAAAATAGATTTCTTTTTAGAAATCTCTATTGTTAAACTATTTCATCTCATTGATTAAAAGAATTTTTTTTATTCTTGAAATTATTAATTATAATAGAATATTATAGAATAATTAATAGAATAATAGAATAATTAATAATAATAAT